TATATATATATATATATATATATATATATATATATATATATAATTTTATCATGAAAATTCTTTATTCTCTATATTCCAGAAATTGTTTATATGTTACATAATCATATAGAATCATTCGTTGTCTCTTTTACACTCGAGTTATTATGCTTTCGACAATAATCTCGAACCTGTTTTAATTAAGAAATGAGTCATGTAGAGTTGTTAAGCCATAAAGACTAATTTTACGCTATTTAGAAATTATTTAAATAATAAAATGCTACTTACTATTTTATTTTGTCCCCGGAAGCTACTCTTATATTTACATGAAAAGAAAAGATAAATATATGAGAGAAGATGACTTTATATTGTACTGAAATGAGGATGTAACAGTTTGTGATGACGTTCAAATATTCTATTAACATATTGGATATGTCGACATGATACTGGACAGTTAACAGTTATGCTCGACGAATACACTAAAACTGTCAATATGTGAAAGATACATTCTTAGAGAGCATCTCTCTCTCTTTTTCATACATTATTTATTAATATTAAACTTTGCGTGTGAGGATGCTCGTACTATGTTGACTTTATTTCCTCAGTGCAACAGCAATTCTCTATTATTATTGCTATTAATCATTGAGATTCTATTATGTTTAGAACTTTAGGTTAAGTCTATTGAGGTTTTCACATAATACTTGTGTAAATTAACAGTTGCTCGTAGTGGTATTATCATTATTGCAATATATGGGTTCCCTTAAACCTCAGCATAATTTTCTCCATGTATAATCGCTATTATTATTGCTTCAAGTGCAATCAATTCGATGTATATAAAGAAAATTTTGTTGATTCTTTCTTTTTGTTGATAAAAATCAGCAAAAAACATGAGAAAAAGTTCAATCGAAGGATAGATATTGTATATGTTATACAAATACATATTTTGATTCAGTAAAATTTTCCATACAAAAGATGGGTGTTCGCATTTTTTCTATATATTTGTAAACTTCTTCCGCGATGAATCAAATATTAATTGTAGATGCGGTGTCAATTTATGTATTTTTGTATTTGCCAAAATAGACTTTTACAGAAGAAAAACATCTTCCTACAAAAAATAAGTATAACAATTATACGAAAATAAATATCAAATATTTTTTCATACGAAATTTAACAAAATGATATATGACTTCCTTTATGTATAATTTCCGCCTAAATGTCGGGTAGCGAAAGTATGCCGGCCTATTAAAAATTCTGCAAAGTCGCGCATTAATACTCCAACGGCACGTCTGGTGTGGATGGTGATTCTAAGGCGACTTCTTCGTAATCTCTCTCAAGCGCGGCAAGATCCTCCCGTGCCTCCGCAAATTCGAATTCCTCCATACCTTCGGTCACATACCAGTGGACGAAGGCCCGTTTATTGTACATTAGGTCAAACTTGTGATTGAGTTTGGCCCACGCTTCCTCTATAGCAGTTGTGTTGGACAGCATAGAAACAGCTCGCTGAACCTGCGAGTGTAACAAGTACATTGTACATTAATAGATATTATAAATTAAATTGTAAACAGCAATCTTTTAATTGTAACCAAAATATAATTTAAAATGTATCGAATCGACTTTTCTATCGATTCAAATACCAATTGTCAAAATGGAATTACGCAACAAATGTATTTACGTCAAAAATTATATGTAGTATATAGTGAAAACCTATTTTTACGACATTTTTTCGAATAAAATGCTCCCTAAATTTTTCCAGTTTTACGACTTTTAATTTAAATTATAAATCGTCATTTTCAAGTTTACTTTCAGGTTCTTCGTAGCCGATGAAACGATTTGTTGTACATTATTTGAAAATAAACTAGAACAAACTTAATAAGATACGATTATGAATATCTTAAGGGATTGGGATATTCAAAGGATGAGATACCTTCGCGAGATCGCCGCCCGGCACTGCCGTGGGTGGCTGGTAATTAATCCCGACTTTGAAACCCGTGGGACACCAGTCGACAAAGCGGATGCAGCTTTTGCCCTTCATGGCTGCGATTGCGGCGTTGACATCTTTAGGAACGACGTCGCCGCGATACAAAAGGCAGCAGGCCATGTACTTGCCCTCTCGCGGGTTGCATTTAACCATCTGATTGGAAGGTTCGAAGCACTCCGAGGTGATCTCCGCGACTGACAAGCCCTCGTGGTAGGCCTTGTCGGCGGACACCACCGGAGCATAGGTCGCTAAGGGGAAGTGTATACGGGGATAGGGCACTAGATTCGTCTGAAACTCGGTCAGGTCGACGTTCAGAGCTCCGTCGAATCTCAGAGACGCGGTAATGGAGGAGACCACTTGACTGATCAGTCGGTTCAAGTTCGCGTACAAAGGCCGTTCGATGCCGAGTTTCCGCCGACAAATGTCGTAAATCGCCTCGTTGTCCACCATGAAGGCGCAATCAGAGTGACCGATTGTCGTGTGGGTTGTTAATACCGCGTTGTAAGGCTCCACCACAGCGGTGGACACCTAAAAGTACAGCTTATTTGAACGTATTCCTCAAGTGGAAACGAAAATCCTTAAAACACTTATTTCTCTCTCAATATCACTTATTTCAATATACTTCTTATAAGATTTATGAAGAAAGAGCAAGAGATTGACGGAGAGAAAGAAGTATAATTAACGTATAAGTGTGTAAATTAATTTAATTTCTTCAAACTTACTTGCGGCGCCGGGTATATGACGAATTCCAATTTGCTCTTCCTACCATAATCGTCGGATAATTTTTCCATGAGCAAAGACGTGAAACCCGACCCTGTGCCGCCTCCGAAGGAGTGGAAGACGAAGAAACCTTGCAGACCGGTGCACTGATCGGTCAATCTGCGCACTCTGTCCATCACCGACTCGATGACCTCGCTTCCGATGGAATAGTGACCGCGAGCGTAATTGTTTGCGGCATCCTCCTTACCGGTGATCAATTGTTCGGGATGGTACAATTGTTTGTACACTCCACTTCGTACTTCATCTATGGAAATTTCGTAAAAATAAATTTATTATTTAGTCAATCGTTACAATTATAATATAATATAATATAATTATAATATAATTATAATATAATTATAATATAATTACAATATAATTATATTATAATTATAATATAATTATATTATAATATAATATATATTATATTATATTATAATTATAACATAATTATAAATAAAGTTCGAAACTTAATATTATTATAATATTAAAAAATTTTTCAATATCTCTCTCTGTCCTAAATATTTTTGTTGATAATATTGTTTTAACTGACCCACAACTGTCGGTTCAAGATCGACCATCACAGCTCGCGGAACCATCTTGCCGGAACTGGTCTCATTGAAGAAGGTGTTGAAGCAATTGTTGCTACCGGAGGCTTTATCGGACGGCATCGTGCCGTCTGGCTGGATTCCGTGTTCCAAGCAGTACAGCTCCCAGCAGGAATTGCCCATCTGGACGCCCGCTTGGCCCACGTGCATCGATATACACTCGCGCTGAAAACCAAAGAGCGTATTAGTGTATTTTGCGTCGGCTGTATAAATTTAACGAGCTGCATTGGGATGCATCTCTGTCTCTCGCTATCCAGAGTCATTCAGGGAACGTAATTTATTTATCCATACCATTTTAACGTTTCCAAATGTTTCTCTCTTGATGTTGCACAATAAAAATTTAGATAGGTCGTTGAATTGGAATTTTTACTAAATTTTCAATTTAGACACGGTAAATTTGGATGCCGGCCATGAGCTGCCCTAAGAAGAAACACGACAGTAATTTATTTTCATCGCCCGGGGTAACTGTTATATAGTTGCAAATTCAGGGAGATTAGAATTTCATTTTTTTTCTCCCACCATGAAACTCTCCGTCAAATTCGCATCTTATTCACGCTTTGCCTTACACGCTTTGTCTTACAGTCGATTTGACACGCGCGGGCTTTCGTTGCATCCTTTGCATGTTATATATACGGTATAACTACCCTTGCGTCAAGCGTATCCGTGGTAACTGAAAACGCGTGGTGCGATACTTGTCATCCTGATCGCAGTGACAGCAGGTAGTAGTGCTTCTAAAATAGGCGCAGAATGTCGCGCGACCTAAGGACGAAGCTATCTTTTCGGAACAGCAGTCGCACGCCGGTGGTATTGTAATTCTGCTTATATGACAAGACGCGCGATGGCTTTACAGCGCTTTTCTATACGACCGGTGTATCATAATATTTTTACACGATCAGTTAATCTGCAACTAATTCCCACTGCCCACGTGATTCCACGAGAGTGATGTGTGTAATGTTAACATTCTTAAGTAAAACGCAAACTATTCCGAACGAAATACATAATTTCAGATTCCAGAGCTGACTACGGAAAATATCCTTGTAAATGTTGGCTGGAAAAGCCGAGGTATAATTAAGAATACCGTCATATCGAATCTCGATATATGGATAACAATTACAGAGCGAATATTGCAAAGTGGTTGCCACTTTCCAGTAGTACTCTTGACAAATGGCTCGTGGACGCCTCTCTTTTGGACGAGAGAATGGGAAAGCTCGCGGGTTGCATAGCTTTGGTCATCGAGGACTTTGCGGATGTTCGAGTTTGTGATCTGGAGGTTTGATATTTATCATTTATTAAAAACAAAAGCCAACAAGTAACATTTTTCCATTGACTGTCTAAAAATGTATATCAAGATCTTATCATAGATGCGAAATGATGGAGAATACTCTAAAAAATATCGAAAACAGCTTGTGTGTAACGAGATATAGTGGGAACACGTTCATAATTATTACAATTGTTGATTTTTGCGCTTCACAGGTATTCGAAGAAGTGATAGACGGCTTGGAGGAATTAATAGGAACTTACAAATTGACAAGTAATCCGAGAGAGTTGAGCACCCACCCGATATACAAATACAAAGTGAATCATCTTTCAGTAGTGTTAAAACGCAAGCTCAATGTAGTCGCGAAGTTCACCCGTAATTTAATCACTGACATTGTTGATTGCAAAAATGACGAGATTATTAAAATAATATTCAGGTAAAACTGTTAAACGCAGTAGTCAGAGTTATTATTAATGTCGTAGCAATTTCGTTTTGCGCGACGCAGCCAAGGAGTAACGACATAATGAATTGCAGATTGGTGAATGCTTACAATAGCATACTCGATATTGATCGCGACGTGTCGAATTCGTCTGTCAATGTCTTTTACAATGACTGCCCGTATATGTTGGAGCCGTTGAAAAAAATCTCCGTGACCAAAATACTGCAAGTGAGTGTTTTGACGTTCATTATTCTTAATCGTTAGCCCTCGGCAATTTAATATCGATCTGTTTTCTCAAGCTATAACACCAACTATGTGTACATTCGATGCTACAACTCATTAAGTGCTTAGTAAATGATATTGGTGAACATCCTCGGTTTTAGATACTCGCAAAAAACAGAGCGGAAGAATCCTGCCACGAACTCATCGATTGTCTTCTGACTAATTACGAGGCTCATGAGAAGATCGAATCTGCGACGAACGACGTGGATGTTTCGGAAAATTCCAGCATTGAGATCTACCGGTTCGTCTAATACCTTGATAAATATCACAGCCAAACAGAGATCGATATCTAATGAAGCGTTTGCATTTGTCCTGTCTTTTAAAATTGTAGCGCTCTTACGAGACACTTAACTCCGCCAATTGTGAGTGCTACATCGACGACCGAGATAATAACCAACATCGAGAGCGTGCAAACGCTCGTGAACACGCAGAACGAGCAGATCCTCAGACTTCTAAATGTCGTACAGGAAGTCTCCCCGCAACTGCTTGGCGCGGACGCTTTGAAGACTAGCAAAGGTAGCGAATTCCTCTAACAAATCCAAAGACTACGCTTTCCTTTAGTGTTCTATATCCTATTAAAAAAAAAAACTCTAATATAACAGTTATTAACTTGTTGACAAAGTCTTGTATAAAACAATCAGATAATTATAAAGTAATTTAACGCAGATTTCTCTTTTAGGCGAGACGAGGTTGAGAGGCAGCGCGATAAAGAAAGTAAAGAACTACTATCAGGAAGTCGCGTGGGGAGCCTTGTCTAGTATTTTAGATCATGTAATACTGTGGTGGTCCCGAGAAGCCCTTGCAACTCATCACAGTCAAGGAGCGCAACATCTCAAGGATTGGTTACGGCAGTTCATTCAGGGACACGAAAGTAAAGATGTCTTTCATTTGAAAGCACACTGAGAGAAAAATTATATTAAAATCAACAAATATTTCTTTGATAGATGCCATTAGTATATTTACTTAAATCTACATTCTCTTTATTTAAACCAAATAATGCTTATTTAAATCAGGTAAACAATATTTGATTTAAATAAAGAGAATGTAGATTTAAGTAAATATGTTTAATGGCACCCATCAAAGAAATATTTGTTGATTTTAATATAATTTTTCTTTCAATGCATTATTACATAAAGACGAATAATAATTCAGTGATGCAGTGAGAATAGATGTTAACAATAATTAATAATCGTATTCCTCTAGCCAGTGTCTTGAAAATTTCAGTTCCATCCACCGTCAGACCGGCGCTACAAAACTTATGCGACGCGCTCGGATACCACACGACCATCACTGTTTGGGACCAGCTGTTTAGATTAGCCTACACTTCGGTTTTCGAGTGTAGTTCGAGACCGTCGACAACGGAGGTACATGATAAAAATTGCTGAACAGAACAATCGACAGAAGGAGAAGTTAACGCCTCTTTACTTACAGGGAACCGATACGGGTCAGATGTTCATCGAGTTGTTTCAGCTGTTGGTCACCCTCAGCAACGAATGTGAAGTAGGTGGCGAGTGGGTGGTAGGAGCGCCATTGATAGAACTGCCGTTGTCGGAGCAGATCGTCGTCTTGCACAGAATGGACCATTCGGTACACACCGCGAGGCTGTGGGCCATCCAAGAAGCTAAGACCATAGCTCACACTTGGGACCTGGACGTGTTCTTTCTGCTGGTGAAGGGTGACATAGCGAACTGCCTCGAGGAGTTGTCTTATCTCAAGGTGCTCTCCTTCGTACCTCCGCGTTTGTTTCTCATAACACGTTTCTCCCTATCGAGAACATGTTTTAATTTGGCTACCTTCAGCTGGCCGATCACACAACCGCTCTGGAATCCACAAATTCTCTCAGTGTCCAAGTGTACGTGTGCACGAAGATGAGGGCGAAGATCGTTTCTGAAGTCAAGGCGAACGTCGAATTATTACAGGTGTAATATCACGCGAGTTCGGATAGAGAAAACTCTTAATTTTAATCTGCCGTTCAAGAAGAACTATGGGCAACTTTGCATTTATATTTTTTTCTCACCTCACAGATTTGTTCCGCTCAGTGCATCGATACGCTTGCCAAGATCTGCCGCGTGGTCAGCCTCGCAAATCTACACATGTGCTTCCCACGATCGAATTACTGGAGGAGAAGTAGCAGCGTAGCTCCAGCAACGGCTAGTGTTTACGTGGAGGCATACTTCGGTATGTGATTCTTCCGATCGTATCTTGACACTGTTAATATTATTGCGCCGAATTCTTTGAATGCGCTGCTATCTTATATACATGAAAGCACACGTTGTAGAAAAAGTTTTGCTGCCCGTGTTGGAAGTGATAGAGGATCACGAGACGTCAAACATGATTCTGCGAATAATGTGCGAGGCATGGCTTGACTATATTTATCTGCATCGCATTAAATTCAGGTAAACGTTCACGTTTGCTTAATATCTCGACTGTGCGAATGCTTATGAGATACAGACCTGACATTTTTTACTTTCAAAGATTTGTGAAGATTGGAAGATCTTAATAAAATTTTATATAAAAATATTAATTTTTAATTTAAATTTCCATTAAATCTTAATGGAATATGTATGTATATGATTATGATGCAAACTTAATATATAAAATGTTGATTTCTGTTATCTTATTCTATTATTTTATCTTATTAATAATCTAATTAAATAATTCCTCACTATTTCGTACCTTGAAACAAATCTCTAGTGAGTACGGTGCACTGCAGCTGCTGACGGATTTCGCGTACGTATCGACGTGGGTCAACGAATGCTCGATCATATCGCAAAACGTTAGGAATCACCTGCTGAAGAATGAGGTTTTGCGTCGTTGTGAAGGCGTCGGTAGACTACTTCTAAGGCATCCAGGCGAAGCGATCGCTATGCACAAACGTTTAGGTGTGTAAAACTTATTGACAATACCTGTTTTTTGTCGCGAGAATATTTCTTTCCAAAGAAGAAATATTCTATCGCGAATACACAATATCGTGTACGGTGGGTGTTTTCAGCTCGTAGAACGAACGAACGGGGATCGCCGGAATCTCCAGGTCTGGAGCGCATGCCAGCTGAAATGTATGTTCCGAATCAAGAACAGTGGCTTGAGTTGCGTGCTCCTAAGCGATACAACTTTTGCTGTACAGAATAAAAAAGAATAAATGAACAATGGCTCGCCAGTCAAACATTTGATCATTGCATTTTTTCCTCGAACCAACAACATTAAAATATTTTGTACTTGTGAAGACGATGAAATTACTATTAATAATTTGTATAAATTATTATTTTTATTGATTAACGAGGATAAATTGAGCTAAGTATCGACAAATAGGGTTGAAAATAAAACAAAATCCGCGCGAAATGACTTCTCGTTGCCAATACGCATTTACGTTTTCGAGAAGCCTGGCAAAAGACGGAAGCCCTTTCACGATCCGATGACATATCGCGTTACAAGGTACAAGATGTGGCGACAAAATCAACACAATAACTACGCATCGACTGTCGTCCCTGACAGTTAAACGTTGGCATTCATCATTCACGCGGCAACGTTGTAGTAATTAATATCACAGAAGAAAATTCAAACGATACAAAATCTCATTCTGTTAAGTAAGAGTGTTCTTTAAAAATGTGCTTGGTATGTGAAACATGATTAATAATTAATTTTATATTAATCTTGCAAGTACTGTGCGTGATAATAAAGAGCAAGATGTTACTGTTTTCAAACTGTACAATAAATAATTGACTATTCTAGTTAAAGTCTTGCTTCATCGGAGTGTTTTCTTCTTGAGTGGTATGCGCGCAGGATTGTAATTGTTACGAGTTACTAGTGATCCCACTGCGATTTGTGGTATACTTTGCTTCTCGTCCGAGTTGTCAGCGTCATGTCATACCGCAAAATAAAAATGCACGGGGCAACTCATGTTTCTCGGCTGTCGATTCTCGATTCACCTTATATAACCGGTTAGGTTGCCCGTGAGAGTGTATGAACAAACGTAATCTATACGATACGGCGTCAGTATATCCAGGGGCTGGCGACATTATTTATTCTTTCCCCTTTATGCGCGGACGGAAAAGTCAAACGTGTTTGGCGATAAAGTTACTTACTTAGTATTTGAGTAATTATCTACGAGTTCGTAAACAATACACACTCGTTAAAATTCTAATAATTAAGAAAATCTTTCGTACAAGTTTTTTTGTATTTTATCAGTGTGTCCCGCCGTTGACATTCTTAACAAAGAATTTGCTTTGAAGGTAAAAATAATGTCTGAAAGTGTGGTGTTATAATCTAGACGGCAATTAACAGCTTGTTATAAATGTGGAAAAGCTCGAGTATTATTGATCGTGCGACAGATGTATACTAGTCGTGCAATCTGTGAGATTATCAAATTATCAGGTGAAAAATATCGTTGCAGCCTCATTTGAGTTAATCGCTAGAGACAAGAATTAATATATCCGTGTACTATATACATATCTTCTTCATCTCCAATTCTGTGTGACGAAAATGCGTGGTGTTACGGAAAGAACGCCTTTGACAAGGCGTATGAATTCACCTGATTACGTCGAATTCGGCAGCGTCTTGAGGACTCGACGAGCGCGGCTCCGACAGTTTCAATGCTGCGTCTGCGGCATCCTGATGTAAGTCTATGTTTGTTATAAAACAAAATCAGATAAATAAAGCTTCATTTATCTCACTGACAAATTCGTTTTGCAAAAAGGAAGCACAATAAGAGACAAAAAATAAATACATAAAAATATTATAAGACTTTCAACGCTGTCGAGTTACTTGTCAGCTCTGTAAATTTGATTTACCGAGTAATTGAATTCATCCGCGATCTTGCAGAGTGGTCTTCACCATGGCTCTGGTGGTATCTGTCAGTTATTCCATGCATCACACTAATTCCACCGACCCTGCGACCGACAATACGACGTCTTCCGGTGATTTGGGTAGTATTTTGAGATTAGGATACGCACCAGGGTCTACTTCGCAAACATTCTTCAGCACCACGGTTAGCGTGATGGTGGAACCCGTCTTAGTATCCAGTGAGAGTATCGACACTTCGACGAAGAGCCTCAGTCGCCAAGAATACATACAGGGATTACAAGCTGGCGAAGAGGCGATGAGAGATCGCCTCTTCGCGGATATGATCGCGGCACAATCACCATTACCGTCTCCGTCTCCGGAATCCAGGCATCGCTACGCTGTAAACACATGTCGTAACGTTAGCACCTTCGCTTTAGCGGCGGTGGGCGAAATCGCGGCGACGAGGAAGATTGAAAATATGAGGTAATTAAGGCTCCTGCGGTCGTCTTAATTTATAACGTATTTTGCAAGAATTTTTAGCGTGTACCCAGACAACATAATATCTAAAATCGGGACATAAGACATCTTAAAGATAATCTTTAAGACAAGATAATCTTTAATCTTAAAGACATTTATACGTAAATCGTCTGAAAGATATCTTAAAGATGATCTTTAAGACGTTTTATATTCCAATTTTAGACATTATGTTGTCTGGGTATTTTCTTGTTTCTGATGTCATCGATCAAAAGTTCTATAACGAGGAACCAGAAATTAACTTCGTGTCAATATATCAGAAATGAATCATATATCAAGAATATTGCGTTGTCCCGATTATTTAGTGAGAAATAACTTTCAAAATATATATTTACATACGTATTTTCATTGAAGATCCGCTCGTGATGAGCCATCGGCGATCGACACCTTCTTCGACAGCGGTTGGGTGCCGAAGAGCGTGTGCGAACGATATTCCAATCATACATGGAAGACCGGCAAATATAGAACCATCGACGGCACCTGCAATCGTCCGAATCAATGGGGTTCCAGTCTGACACCCTTCAGAAGAGTCTTGCCAGCCGATTACGCCGACGGAATCGAGTCGCCTCGAAAGGCACGGTCCGGGAAAGGGTTGCCGTCCGCCCGAGAAATCAGTCTAAAGATACATGCGCCTTCACCCAGCACTAATCCGTCCTTCACAGTAATGTTGGCTGTGTTCGGCCAATTCTTGGACCACGACATCACCGCCACTGCGTTGAGTCAGGGTATTAACGGAAGCTCCATATCCTGCTGTCCGCCGTCGAAACGACATCCCGAGTGCTTCCCCGTACGAATAGACACCGGTGATCCCGTGCACGATTTCACCGGTAGAAACTGCATGGATTTCGTGAGATCGGCGCCAGCTCCGCAGTGTAAACTCGGTCCTAGGGAACAGCTCAATCAAGTAATTTGAAGCATATTCGTAAAGCACAATCGTAATTATCCAGAAAGTACAACTTCTAGAAGACGTCCTACTTTTTAGGCATTTTTAAAACGACTTTTAAACGTCTATTAGAAGTTTGTACTGCCTGGGATACGCACACTCCTTTTTATCCTTGATTCGCTACTTGTATGTACAAACACACACCGCAGTGATTAAAATTCCGCCGTATTCAGGTCAGCGCCTTCATCGATGGCTCGACGATCTACGGTTCTGACGCGTCCACCGCCCGTGATCTGCGCGAATTCAGTGGCGGTCGCTTAAGAATGCAGCTCACTCCCGATAACAGGACTCTGCTGCCGCCAAGCAGGAATCCCAGCGACGGCTGCAACCGTGAAGCCGAGCGACGTCGCGGTCGTTATTGCTTCACCGCGGGTGACGCCAGGGCGAACGAGAATCTGCATTTGACCACGATGCATCTTCTCTGGGCCCGACAGCACAATCGTGTCGCCGATCAGTTAGCTACAATTAATCCTGATTGGAGCGACGAGACGCTTTATCAAGAAGCGCGACGTATCGTCGGCGCTCAGTTGCAGCACATCACATATCGCGAGTTCCTTCCCATCGTCTTGGGCGACGGTAGGATGAACAAGCGCGACTTGAAGCCTTTAAGTTCGGGCCACAGGAAGCGATCGGATGATCCGGACGAGCCGAGCAATGATCCGACAATAGCCAATCACTTCGCGGCAGCGGCTTTTCGTTTCGCTCATACTTTGCTACCGGGACTAATGAGAATGACCGACGCCGAGAAGGACACGTCGTCCTACATGGAGCTACACAGGATGCTCTTCAACCCATATAGTCTCTACTCCGAGGACGGTATCAAGCGTTCGGTGACCTCAGCAACGACTAACGTCATTCAGAGGTACTCTACGCACGTCACTTCGCAGTTGACTAATCATCTTTTCGAAGATCCCATAGGCAATTCCACGGTAGCTTGCGGCCTTGATCTGGTGTCGTTGAACATCCAACGAGGACGAGATCACGGATTACCAGGGTACATTATGTGGCGGGAGTACTGTGGACTGGGAAGAGCGCGGACGTTCAGCGATCTCGAAAGATACTTGGATCGACAGACTCTGCAGCAGATATCGATTCTCTACGAGTCCGTCGACGATGTAGATCTGTACACTGGCGCGTTGGCGGAGATCCCGGAGTCGGACAGCCTGGTCGGGCCCACGTTCGCGTGTTTGATCGCTGATCAGTTTACGCGTCTACAAAAAGGCGATCGTTATTGGTACGAGTTCGCAGAGCAACCTTATCCTTTTACAGAAGGTACAGTAAATATTTACTTCTACTTATTCTATAAATATATGCGATAAGTGAGTTCGAAACGTAACAAATAATAGACAAGTCACATTCGCTAAAATTGCAGATCAGCTTATGGAGCTGCGCAAGAGTTCACTGGTGAAGTTAATATGCGATACTTCCGATGGTGTTACGCACGCCCAAATGGAAGTTATGCGCTCTGCTGGCCGTGATAATCCTATGATATCTTGTGAGGACATATCAGGGCCTTCCTTTGCGCCGTGGAGGGAAAAGCGCGCCTCTCACTCTATGGAGTAGTTATAATAGTCTTATAAGTGAAGTCTTATAAGTAAAGTTTACGCATAATTACGAGCTTGTACGCGTGTAATTGTTTACAATAGAATAGAATATATTTACGTGTTACTGCTCAGTGCAATATTTATACGAGACGAGAATCAAACAGGTTCGAGTAAACTTTACTACAATATTACGTCGTTTATTAATTATAATTTTCACTTCTTTTTTTTGCGATTTTCGTACGCATTTTGATAGCTTTTTTACACCCTTAGTATAAAGATTAACGATGTATTCCTTTATGTATTGTCATAATAAAGTCTTGTAAGATTATCGCCGCAGTTAACTAATTGTGCACCTATCTTTAACTTGTTGTGCACTTATCATTAACGTAATTTTACGTGTGGAGATTGCAATCATCAAGTGATAAATTTGATGGAGTTTCTTAATCCATATAGCACAGAAATTTCAAAAAGTTTTCAGAAAGCTTTCAGAAACATTGAACCTTTTTGAAATCTTCTGAAATCTTTCTTTCTGAAATCTTTTTTAAACTTTTGTGCTGTATGGGAAGTAATGAGAAACTTAGCGAATATCGCGATGATTGATCTCTCTGTCTCTCTTTTTCGTTTCTCCATATTTTATACAATATTAAAAAATACAATAACTCGTATTATTTAAGTAAGTATTATTTCAGTAAGTATAAATGCAGTAAGTATTTCAAGTGATTTATAATGAATATTTCAATATTTTAAACATTGCAAGAAAGTGTTAGCATTTTGGCGGTAAAGTTTTCAAGTATGACATTCCCTTAAAAAATTGTACAGCCGGCTGATTAAAGCCGACAACAGCACTTTTTATCAGTAGTAAATCAAGCTTTAAATCTTGAAAAAAAGTTTCTCGTCAGGGAGTAAATGTGACCTTTTTCAAGCGTGGCACTGTCGATAATGTAGATACGCGTGCGTTGCGTTTCTTCTCAACTTATGATGCACATGCACCTCGTTCTATTGACGTGAGAGTAAACGTGAGAATGGAATGTAAACATAGGATTGTGGTGAGATGGAGCGGGAAGGAATACGATATCCTAGATCTTCAGGAAGAGGATACTGTTCTTACGCTGAAAGAATACATATACAAGGAGACTGGTGTTCGTCCTGAGCGTCAGAGGCTGTTGAATCTTAAATCTAAAGGTTATGTTTTGTCTTTGATTAGATACGTCACAATAAGTAGTATATTTAATAATCATTGATTCAATATTTTATGAAACGTGTCTCAAGTATATCCTTGTGAAATATGGTCAAATATGTGCTATTGCATTAATCACTATTATTAACTTAGATTTCATCTAGTTGTATAATGTCACTCTGAAAACATACACATTTCCTTAAAAATATTATTTACAATTTTGAAAATGAATTTTTATGTATAGTACATTAAATTCAACAATTTTATATCTCATAATTTATGAACAATGTTCATAAATTTACATCAAAATTCTATAGATTATATAAAAATATAAACTTTTCAATCTTGAGATACGTTCTTTGAATAACATAGATTACTCATTGTCTACAGATGATATATTATATATAATTTACATTGTCTACAGATAAACATCTAACTCTGATAGTAAGCTAATAAAGATTTTAGTTCATAATCTAGATGTATCTTTGTAAAATTCTCAGTTTTTGTGATTCTGTACTCATTAGGTAAAGCAGCGCAGGACGATGACATTATTGGCAAATTAGACCTGAAACCTGGTTACAAGCTAATGCTGATGGGCTCACGCGAGGAAGATATTGCAGAAGCTAGTCAAGCACCAGAGAATGTACCTGATGTGATTAACGATCTAGACATAGAAGAGGAGGAGGTGGAGATCGAAAAGGCTGAGGTGAATCTGCGTAAAATCCAGATACGAATCGATCGCTACATGATCACAGAGCTGAATCCACTGAGGGAAGGTAAGAAGTTGCTCGTGCTGGACATAGACTACACTCTATTCGACCACAAGTCAGTGGCAGAAAGTGGAGCGGAACTGATGCGCCCGTACCTCCATGAGTTTCTAACGCGCGCCTACAAAAATTACGACATCGTCATCTGGTCGGCGACCAGCATGAGGTGGATCAACGAGAAAATGAAGCTGTTAGGTGTCTCGAATCATCCAAACTACAAGATAGCCTTTCACCTGGACGTCCTCGCCATGATCAGCGTGCACTCGCCGAAGTACGGTCTTGTCGGGGTGAAGCCCCTGGGTATTATCTGGGGCAAGTACAAGCAATATTCCGCGAAAAACACGATAATGTTCGACGACATCAGGAGAAACTTCATCATGAATCCGCAGTCGGGACTGAGAATAAGACCTTTCAAGCACGCTCACACCACCAGAGTCAAAGACGTTGAGCTGGTGAAATTGTCGAAATACTTGGAATTGATAGCCAAGGTGGACGACTTTCAAACTCTCAATCATAGGAAGTGGGAAGAGTACAAGGCCAAGAAGAGCGACACTAACGACGACGAGCAAAAGACCGTGTAATAAAATTGTCACGGCCCATTGATGAAACTCGTCCCTCTTCCTGGGATCTTGTGACGAGAGCAGCAATAAATATCGTCGATCGACGAGAAAAACACGGCGATTTAAAGACTGTACATAACGAAAAGATGCATTCGTTGGCTACTTCAAAACTGTAGGCGAAAAAACAAAGCTACAAGACTGTCGCGCATCCTGAGGATAAGGAGAAACTAGATTAACTCAATCGACCAGCCTGTTATCGCAGGAAGATTTTCAGATTGCAAATGAGAAGGGAAATAGATTACAATGCACGACGTTGACTCACTGATAACACGCGAATATTTTCACATGCCTCTTTGTATTTGTGTATTATTTATCGGTTGTATTATATACTGCGTATGTGTAAGAGTCGTTTAAAATGCGCGCATGATGTTACACGATATAATCAAGTACTATATGAATACAATATTACAAGCCAAGTAAGCCTGGGTGTTCAGCGTCATGCGCGCAAAAAGTTCCCCGCATGTTACTCTCTGTATGTGCATGTCTCGCAAATACGGTTGTGTGTAGGCAGTGTACGGCTGTCTCACGCGACACGACACAGAAACAATTCAATTCTTTACACCTACGTGCTCGCACTATGCGGGTTTCATGCGGCATATTCCAGCCATTAAAATGTAATATGCTCTCTGCACTGATCATGTGAAAGACGCGGCGTTTAGCTATCTTATGCATTAGACGCTAGCATCGGCGGACTTAGTTGGTCCAGAAAGAATTTGTAAACTTTTTAACATGAAATAATGCTTCTTGAATTTTTCGGAGAAATTTTAGGCATGTATCTCGAATGGAAAAAATGTAAAATTGTATATGTGAAGAATGTACCCTCACCCACATGGTGATTGTAATAAAAGTTCACTTATTCGGAAATATTATTTTTGAACTTGTGTTCCTCTTGACATCTCTTAGATCTAAGCTCGTGAATGAACGTACGATCAGACGTATATTAGTTTAAAATGTTATTACTGAACTTGTTTCTTGCTAAACATTTTCAAACCACCTAAATAATTCAAGAGAATATCGCATATTTAGAGGATATAATTATCTTGTGTAGTAAAATTCTCTCCCTGTCCATAAAATCTGCGTCCGCGGAAAGTTTGGCGCGACTCCTCGTGTCTAAAAATATCGTTTTGTATATATAACAATTGTTTACTAGTAAATACGTAAAAAAGAAACAAGAAAATCTCGCTTCAATTATACATACGGTACCGACAGAGTCAAAAGCGACTCTATAATTGTGTCAATCGCGCGAGACTACCTCGTCGAAATATCGAGCGACCGACTGCTTGATATTGTCATGCTCATTGAGGAATAATACAATTGATTCACCGCGTTTCACACGAGCGGTCGTGTGTCGTCGTCATCGCCTCCCACGTCGGGAATCAAAGACGGCGGAGTGCGCGACGGGCAACATGGCGAGCGTTCGGTGGTAGGCGGATATTTAGTCTCCGCGCGGAAACGTCACACGTGCCGTCCAACGGCTGTCAAAGCGCAGGAGAGTGAAAGAATGGAGCTGTTCCGCACTGACACTCATTTTATCTTCGTGAAGGAGAGGCATAGCCTCTGGTGCGACAAGTATACTGGCGAATTCTCCGCGAAATCAGGTGAGGTGTGCGTGCAATTGCGTTTGACACACAAGCGTCGCGCAAAGCTCGTCACTTGTCAAAAACGGTTTCTCATCATTGCGAAACGCTTCGGGCGTCAGTCAGTTCCACTTTGTGCGGACGACAACCGTGCGACACGGCTATACGGCCATATACGGATGATATTTTACGATATACAACCTTTGACAGTTGATGAGAGAGTATATTGTGTTCGGAATTTATTGTTATTGTTTGGCATTTACTATTTCTATCTCATTGGCAATGATGGATCTTTTGTAGATTGGGAATGGGCCGCACCGAAGGATTTAGAATGCCTGGGGATGTTTTACGGAATAGTGGGAAAAATCGAACAAGCGTCAGTGCTGGAGCCTCGTTTGATGCTCATAAAGGATGTCATACCAGCAGGAGAGTTACACGGTGGTCATGTTGTCTACAAGATCAAGTCTATTGCATTTCTACATATCGGCACGGAGAACACGGATATTGGCCTGTTGCCTTGTAAGAAACACCAGTATGTGTTGAAGAAGAAAGGTGCTGGTGGATTGTTTGATGTGCCACAAAAAGCAGCCCTGGCGAAAACTTGGGGCACAATCAAGAATGCTACCAATACTATAAAAAATACCACACAGCAAGCTGCTGCGCTAGCTACATCTCAAGTAAGGGATTCAATCACTTTGCCAATGCAATTCTATAAATTTTGTGATATGATAATATCTTGTAATCTATAAAATTTATGATATGATTATAAATCCTATAACATATTATACATTTATGATTTCATATAACTTACAAATTATCCATAGGTAAAGTCGACAGTGACAAAACGAAGCATTGTGAAAGACAAAGAAAGATTTGAGAAAAGAATATTGGAAGAGCTGAGCAAGATATTTACTGAAACTGACTCCTTCTTCTTTTGTCGAACTGGTGACATCACTAACAGCTTACAGCGGCAATGTATAATGGAATCTGAAGACCAAGGCGACCCTAACAAGCCATTGTGGCAACGTGTTGATGACAGATTCTTCTGGAACAAGCACATGTTACATGACATTATTAGTTTAAATGTTAGCAATCTTAATGAATGACGTTTGCATCTACAGTTGGCTTTACTGTATTGCATGTTATAATTGAGAATGTACAAAATTTCAAATCACATAGAAGCTATTTATTTCTATTTATTCACTTGCTAACATGTCATTTGAAACTGAATGTACGATAACGATAATCAATAACCATATGGCACTCATATTTTATGTAACATACACTATCCACTTATCTAAGCTACAATTTGCTTCGCAGACAAATAAGGCAAACTGTTGGATATTACCAATCATTCAAGGATACGTTCAAATAGAAAAATGTATAGTTGAGGTGGGTTTCGACGGACAGCCGCAACAAGAGACATTTAACCTGGCGATCATATCAAGGAGGAGTAGGTTCCGTGCTGGGACTAGGTAATTTTTATCTTGTGAGATTTTTGGTAGTTTCTCTCACAATTGTGAGTTTAATAAAAAAACTTTTACATGTAACATTCCATACAGATATAAGAGGCGCGGAGTGGACGATAATGGCAAATGTGCAAATTACGTTGAGACTGAACAACTAGTTTGGTACCACGATCATCAAGTATCTTTTGTACAAGTACGAGGAAGCGTGCCAGTGTATTGGTCGCAGCCTGGATATAAATATAAACCTCCACCTCGAATTGACAAAGGTGAATATATAAAGAAGAGATATTTCTCGCGTTCTAAACCATCTCTTCACAGAGCTTCGACATAGTCGATCTAATATAACAAACGTTGCACAGATGAGGCTGAAACGCAAATAGCGTTTGAAAAGCATTTTGACGAAGAGCTCACGTTGTACGGGCCGGTTTGCATTGTCAATCTAGTTGAACAGTCCGGTAAAGAAAAGATAATTTGGGAAGCTTACAGCAATCATGTGTTTAATTATAACAACTCGGACATAACGTATACTACTTTTGACTTCCACGAATATTGGTGAGTAGCGCGTAATGTTACATCTTTACGCTCCCCATCACAAATATATGTATATATTGTCACGAATTACGTTTGTATCTCGAAAAATTTTGTGCTTAACACAGTCGAGGAATGCATTTCGAAAATGTATCTATTCTGGCTAATGCATTGGCTACAGTGCTGGCAGACATGGGTTACTGCTGGCGCGATAAACAAGGTACGATATGCATGCAAAAGGGCGTATTCCGTGTGAATTGCATAGATTGCTTAGATAGAACAAACGTGGTGCAAACCGCTCTGGGTAAAGCTGTTATGGAAATGCAGTTCTCGAAATTGGGACTAATACCACCTGACGGAATTCTGCCTGCAAACATAAGACAGACTTTTCAATCGCTTTGGGCTAATAATGGAGATATTATTAGCAAACAGTACGCGGGCACGAACGCTTTAAAGGTCTGTACAATCGCGTCTATCGAAGTCTATCGCCTCGAACGAACAATTTTATCGTGATGCTTACGAAACCTCTTATCATGTTACAGGGAGATTACACGCGTACCGGGGAGAGAAAGTTTACCGGGTTGATGAAAGACGGCATGAATTCTGCGAATAGGTATATCTACGAACTCTTATCCTTTCTATCGTATATTTCGTATTCGCTTAATTTTTTTCTGTTCATTTACAACACCTCACACGACACGAACAAAACCAACGCAGTTAGTGCCTCGAAAATAATAACCCCGGAGTTAGATATGCGTATTCAACATACACACGTTGATTCTATAGGACCCTGAAATTGTCCTTTCATTTTCCTTTAGATATTATCAGCAACACTTTATGGACGACTTACGTCAGGCGGCGATAGATACGCTGCTAGGGAATCCAATCGACGTTGATCGACTGAACAACGATTGGTCACACTATTTAGATATCCTTGATAATTGCTGTCTCGAACTTATACCTATGAAACCACCAAATATACAACTTCAACTTGCTACTCATCCTGACTTCCTTTATGTCACTGCCTTATATGATTTAGCAAGGTTCGTTGCTTGCTCTGAGCTTCACCGTTGAAAAAGTAACGACAGAGAGATGATGTATCTTCAGGAATTAATTCTGTTACGCGTTGGATCGTGTAACGTAAAAAGACATGCGCTATGCCACCATGTTCAGCATGAGAAGTTTTTCCGTTGTACTGTCAGAATTCTTTTGCATGCTTGACTCTACTCTTCTCTGTTTCGTTGGAAATTTAATTTGTCTTGAGATTCAACCACTACAATAACTGCTATAGTTATTTGAATAAAAGTATAAATGTAAAAAGATGCTGCTTTCCTCCCGTTTATATAATTTCTTATACATAGATTACAATTTGCCGAACACTCGATCTTTCTCGATACTATCTTTAGCTTTCGTGAATGTTTCTTACATTCTTAGTACAGACTTAATGTCTTTGCAGGTATTATCTGAATCGCTTCAAGGATGTCTATAGACAAGCGACAATCGATATGATGTTGGGAAATTCGGTGAGCGAGGAAGTATTCCAAGAGCGCACTGAGGAAGAGGATAACGCGGCTACCGCGATTCACGTGAAACTGCTGATCGAGGATTGCAAAAAGTTACTGATACCCGATCCGGAAATCATTTTAGGCAGTTGGGGAGTGATCGATGCCGATCCTGTGTATGTATGAATAGGAATGGGAACGTTCACCAAAATAGATATTAATATTTATGTTTAATGATATATCGATTTGTTTCTCAATTAAATTGTGCTCTTTTTTTCTACAGCACCGGCGATCCAACGGAAACAGAGATGGATACTATCTTGATATTGACTCGAGATAGTTATTACGTAGCTGACTATGATGATCAGATCGATAAAGTTACGAATTATCAAAGAGTTCAGTTAAGCGATATCGTCTTGATTGAATTCGGCCAGCCTGAGAACACAGTTTCGTTTTTCAAGAACAAACATTACCATTGTGTTAGAATCAATTACAAGGTGAACAGCGAGTACGGTTACTTTCATATGTTCCGTAGTACAAATCTAAGGTTTTTCAATAATATGGCGGTAGTAATCAAAACCGAAGAGGAAAGTATAGGTGAGAGTGCATTCTTCGTAGTGATTCTCTATCATAACGACTTCTCTATAAATTTTATGTATCCTCGAATTTCAGAATCTCTAAGAGCAATTTGCGAAGCTATTTCGGTGGCTATGGAAATAGCAGACTTGCCGAAAATTCCTGTCGCCATGAACGTCACGTTAGATAAGAGAAAGAGCAAACTGGTGAACGCTAAAGGCTCTACTGGCTTATTGGATATTTCGTCGTTCCCAGAACTGACGCGAAACGTATCTGAGACGCAATTGCTCGCCTTGAAAACAGCAGGTTCGTTTTCACACCGTCTCCATTACTCACATACGTTGCGCGGAGAACTTTTTATACAAATAAATATCTTTCTCTCCCTCTATCTTAGGTACAAAAGCGTTGAGCAACATGTCAGAGCAGTTTAGCAAATTGAACAAATTGAGTCAGACTTTCAGCGCGAAAAAGCCGATCGATCTAGCCAAGAGCATAGGTGGCAAGAGAGCGGAAAACTTGTCGAAACCGATCTTCACCGTAGGTAACAGAGACATCTTGGGTAACGCGAAAGAGAAAAGCGGTAGCAGTAGTAGCGACGACGATGAAAATATCGAAATGACGCGTGTTCATATGGATAAGCCGATAATGAACTTCAGCCACGATAAGCATTTGATGGAAGCTTACTCTCCGTCTATCGGCATTATCATGGGCGTGAAGAACAACGTCGTGGACGGTTGTGACGGCAACGGCAACACAGATTTGTCCACGATAAGACACGACGTGAACCTAGATTCAAAACCTGACATGGCGATGGATGCGCTACTTCTGATACCGCAAACCGGATCTGGCACTAGCACTCTCAGTGCTTCGCCGCAGAAGACCACCGCGACTACACCTGAGATCACGGTGTACGACGTAGGGGAGAGCCTAGGCGAGAACAGAGAACGGATGTTCCCACCGTCGAGTTTGACGCTCTCCAGGAACATCAGTCATTCGACGGGGGAGGTGGACAATAAAGCACTGTCTATCAAGAGCGTTACCCTACAAACAGACAGCAGACTAGATGAGAAAAAGAGATCAGCGTCTGAGCAGGACCTGACATTAAACATCACGTCGTCACAGAGTGAATCCGCTTTAAAATCCATCAAAGAGAATATCGCAAACGTCACCAGTCCGGTGGCGTCGACGGCCAAGGACATTCTGTCGCCGTTTTCGAAGCTCGCTAAAGGTGTTCAAACGTTAGGGGCTAATCTAGATCCTAGGAAGCTGAAGTCGGGCAATGCGGGACTATTGCGAAACCTGTCGGAACACCATATGGAGGAACGCCACAAACTCCAAGAAAAATGGGCCACCTGTCAGACCAGACTCATTGCTTTGTAAACAGTTTATCATTCTCGAACGACGACAGCTTTTTTCCCGAGCGCGACTCGTCATTAAATAATCAATCCGACGCTTATCGACGCACTGTGTATTTCTGAAAAAACCTCGAATTATATTCGCGACAGCAACGCAAATTACTATCGCGCACTTTTGAACAAGAAGAAATTAAGTATTAAGAGATTGTGTGTATTATAGAACGTTTTATTACGTAGATCGCGCGCGTGATTTAATACGACAAGAGTATATCACGTGGACAGTAGCGGAGAATTTCGATCAAATTTTGTAGAAAGAATCTTATAAGTCGATCTCACTGCACCTATTTCATATTTTCACACTTCACCGAGTGTAGCGTTATATCGATGTGAAATATACGAAACTACTTGCTGCAAGAATAGAGGCAATTTCTACACGTTACGACGCGAACTATGGACGCAAAGTACAATATGGTCAATATTTACTCGTGATTCATTGATTTAATGATCTAACGAGTGTGGCACAATTTTTATCGCTAGGAAATTGTGCTAACTGTCAGCATCTCTCTCGACAGCGTCTATATCAATGTTACTATATACTTGCTGAAGTTTTTTGGCACATTTTTACAATATTTTTAATGGCGATTCAATAAAATTAGCCTATTAGATGCTACTGATTCGAATTTCGAAAAGCAGTAGAACATAAATATTTTTTCTTGCTTAATATTCAAATAATGTTTCGTACCGCGCAGTAAAATTCTCTTGCTTGCAAGAGAGTTTCTTTTAAAAATTTTTCCTTTTTAGGTTGCATTCCAAAACGTTCTTTCCGAGGAAAATTTTACTCTTAAGTCTATAGTGTATGTAACATGAACTATAGATTTAAGAGTAAAATTTTCCTCGGAAAAGATGTTTTGGAATGCAAGCTTAATTGATACGCGCGTAAATAAATTTTTATATTAATATGAATAGCTTGAAACGTAATTGGGATGGTTTATTTGTACAGAGAATCGAAGAATGAAGCTTCGTAGTCAATTATGTAAATAAAGAGATTATTTAAAAATATAGTTTTTAGTAAAATATATATAATGAAGTTAGTGAGAAAGATAAAAAATGCGTTTGAAGTATACATGGTTACCAGAACAGAGACAATTATTATGCTTGTTAGTTTCCTCGAGATGGGTATTCTTTAAAATTACGCGGAAATAACGTAATTATTTTAAAATCAGAGAACAATACGTAGAGCATAGAGTAGTTGAGAATCTAATTCTCAATACACAAAGTGTTAATTATATAAGTTATAAATCTGTGAATGTGTGGTATATACAAGAAAATAGTTGATTTATACGTGTAATACGACCAAGCTGAGTAGCGAGTTTGTGTATTTGTAATCACGTTTATATTAGCGTTATGATTATAGATGCTTTAATAGGTTGTTACGAGCCACAGATCTACAGTATTTTGAGAGCCAGTGAACGTTCAGTATTATATGGAGTATATGCTACCGACGAAGAGCCGCATGACATACTCTCTCCCCCGCGCGAGCGTACGTAAATTATTAATATAAACAAAAATTAGGTACAAGAAACAAATGCTGCGCAAATCTTGTGGGCGAACCATAGCATAGATTATATAGGCTTCAGACAGTCCGATTTCGATCGTGTAAATAATTGTATCTCATTCCAACAGTATCCGTTTCTCCCTTTCGAACGTTTCGAGAATAACATCTACTACGGCGATCCTAAGCTAGTATTTGTAGCAAGTATTCTTTTTACCGCATAAACAATAGTCTGTGATACTATCTTATGGAATGCATGCAAATCTAATTCACGACAGATCAGGAAATGCGTGCATTCTGAAAGACGCTCTAGGACGCTTTAGGATAAGAGTACGATTAGGTTGTATTTGAGTATGCATCCCCTTGAGAGATTAACTTCGCCTTGGTTGATGCAAATTTATCGTTCGTTCGACGTTATTATTAAAAAAAAAAGAGGAAAATAAAACTTGTATCTGAGAGCACGACATTGGATTTGAACTCTGTCTAATGTACATTCAACGAATACGATGTAATATTCAACGGAAGTTTGTTATCGAATCTGTGTGATGTGTATTAACACATTTTTAACTGAATGTCCTGCGAAACGTAGGTGAATAAAGGAACACACAGAAAGACACTCTACATGAAATTAAGTTGTTGATCAACGAAGGCAAATATTAATTTTTAAATTAAAAAAACGCTTTTATTTATTTATATGAAGAAACAATTTTATTTGTACTTTAGATAAGAATTAATATTAATCGTTCCCTGATATACCTATTTTCTTTGCGGGATAAAAAATTGTACTTCGGAAGGATTGTATGTAGAGACTGTAGAGGCTTGATATGCCTTATACACACGTATTTGCTATTATGTTCTTATGAGATTATAATAAAAGAAAATTCGCGTAAGTATATGCCGGACAGTAAGCATTGACAATGTGTGCACTTGTAGAACAAATAACAATAAAACGCATTTGACTTGTGAATCTTAATTGAATCCTCTACAACTTTTTATCTAAAAATTTTCCTTTAAATGAACCATTCGTTACATTTAAAATAATTTTTTATTTTGCTTGTAACGCGTAATTGATTAATCTGAAATACGACCTTTAGACATTCAAATTTCATATTTAGCGCCAAACGGCCAGTTCAGGGGTGCGTTCCAAAATTTAACTTTGCAGTCTATTCTATTTAGCTGCATTGTTGAACTAGTGCAATAAGTTAGAGCGAGAAAAAATATACTTGTCTCATTCTAACTTATTGCACTAGTTCAGCAGTGCAGGAACAGAAATCAGACCCATAGGTCGGTATTCATAGTCGGATCTTATATTTAATGGCTCCTGCACACAGGACGCGGTAATGCTTGCCGCGCGGCGGAAGTTCGCGCAACGGCCAATATGCTGCTTTCCGTAATAACCTTCTAGCTCTTACGGAAAAACAACATATTGACTGGTTGTTGCGCGGACTTCCGCCGCGCGGCAAGCATTACCGCGTCCTGTGTGCAGGAGCCATAAGACCGTCTTAAATTCATCTTTAGATGGTCTTCGGATGATTTCATTGGCTACAAAACACCTGAAGATAATCTTAAGACAGTCTTAACAATGACGTATTACAGACCAAGCATTCCTATACTTCTGCTGCAGCAGCGAGTGAAGCCGGAAGTTGGCAGTTTAAAACAGAGTGAGAAAGTTGATTTGCTCCTAGTGCTTTCTCATTTTATCGTATAAAATATGGCCGCTGTCAAGTGCTATATATAATGCAATGCAGAATTAAAAGAACAAT